ATATCTCGCTCCCTTCAGTAAGTATAAAGGCAAACATCGCGCTGTGGGCGTTTTTGTTACGAGACAGCCCCAAATCCTGGTGCTCGATCCCAAGCTGGCCCATGAGATTCTCGTGGGTAACTTCCGCTGCTTCAAGGACTCGCTGACCAGCTCCTATATGCAGCATGCCAAGTGGGACAAGTACGCCAGGCGTAATCCCTTCTGGGCATCCGGCGACACCTGGCGACGTCTGCGTTCCGAGGCTCAAGCTGGGCTATCGGCGAATCGCTTGAAACGTGGCTATAGTATTTGGGAGCAGAGCGGCAGGAAGTTGACCAAGTACATGACGGAGCAGCTAAACAATAATATGTTGGAGACCAGAGATGTGAGTAAACCAATTGGGCGAAATTTACAGAAATATTTGATAGTCGTGATATTTGATAGTGGGAAATTGAATATGGGAATTTCTGTCGAATTAAATGTTTAGAATTTTTTATTTCTAATAAAAGTTCTTAGAAACTTAGTTATGGTTTTAGGGTATGTACAGTTTCTTCATCATATTTAATAGAGATCCTAAATCAAATACAATATGCTTATATAGGGTATGAACAGTTTATTTAATATTATATTTCATATACATATAAGTCTTGTGAAGCATCTCTATTTCTTCTTTAATCATGTATTATAAACCTATTTATCGAACAACCTATGTTTTGAGAAAATGATAGCAGTAGTCAAAAGATAATATAAATTCGATCTCAAGTCAGATAAAGCCATATTGAGGCTTTCGTTTCTCTTTTGTTTTCTGCCTTCCTTCTTGGGTATTTTCTCTTCTCTATTCTTTCTTACAAGAGAGGAACCAGAACGTTTCTTCTCTTTTCCCTTTCCCCTCTTCCGTCTTATCTTTTTCTTTTCCTTCATTTCTCACTTCCTTATCTAATATTTTTTCTCTCTCTATCTTACTCTCTCTCCCCTTATCAATCACAAACTAATACACCCCATTTCCAGCTCTGCTTTCGATATACAGCCGATGTGATGTGTGATTTCATATGGGGCATCGATGCGGGCACCTTGACTCGCCACACGGGGGAGCCCAACAAGGTGCAGCAGATGGCCAGCAAGTGGACCAATTATGCCTTCTACATGATCTCCATCTTTATGGCATCGATTATAGCTCCGTTTACTCGGCTGCTCTTGCGCTTGCGCTTCTATCCCAAGGACACGGATGAGTTCTTTTCGAACCTGACCAAGGAATCGATTAACTTGCGCTTGAAGACAGGCGAAGAACCGCAACGCGTAGACTATCTATCGCATCTGCTGAAGCTGCGCGACGAAAAGAATGCCTCGCATGATGATCTAGTGGGCCATGCGCTGACCGTGATGCTGGATGGCTACGATACCACCGGAACTGCGCTGCTTCACGCGCTCTATTATGTAAGCCAGAATTACATTTATGCTTGTATATCAAATCTAATTAAAAATTCTTTCAGCTGTCGGAGTTTCCCTCTGCTCAGCAGAAGCTGCGCATGGAGTTGCGCCAGAACACGGAGCACGAGAAATCCCTGGACTACGACAAGCTAAGCCAGTTGCCCTACCTGGAGCAGGTTGTCTACGGTGCGTATGCATTATATACCCAGTAAAGGGAAGCTGAAAGAAATTTAAGAGATAGACAAAGTATTGACAAATATTTATATTATTTTAGATAGTTCTTTTTTTTTTTTAATTAAATAAATAAATAGTAAATAAAATACCCTGGTATATTCTAGTCGGCTACTCTCTAAATCTTTTCTCATTGTATAGATATGATAAAAAAATTAATACTTTTTTAGATCAAATCCATAATCAATCTATATCAATTTATTTTTTCAGAATCGTTGCGCTTGAGCAGTTTGATACCTCAATACACGAAAATCTGCACAGAGTCCACGTTTATACAGTTGAGCGAGAATAGGCGAGTGGAGGTGGAGGAGGGCATGACCGTTATGATACCCAATTATCAATTTCACCACGATGCCAAATACTTTCCCGATCCAGAAGCATTCAGACCTGAACGGTTCAATAATGGGGAGCACATCAAGATGGTACAGCAAGGCATTCTGTTGCCCTTCAGCGATGGTCCACGCATATGCATGGGTAAGTCGAACCCTGGATATATGTATATCTATTTATACTCCATGTATCGACTGATATTTTAGGTATGCGCCTGGCTCTGCTAACTCTCAAGTCCGCACTGTTTCACATCATCAGCAACTATCAAATTGTGCGCAGTAAGCAGAAGATAGTCACGGATGGAGATTCGGGCTTCGGAGTCGTACTACAAGGTGATATCAATTTGGAATATCGTCGCTTTGTTCGATAGAAATAGGTTTTCAACTAGCAGTGAGATATGCCAATCAAATAGAGCTATCGCATGTGCCGAGCCTCAAAAAGCGATTAAATATAATTATCTATTTCGATTTGACTCAACTCAACTGTTGTTGTGCCACCAAAATTACGTCAAGTTCTGGTTTGAGTATATTGACTCGTAATAAATTGTGAGAGGTTATGTTTTGACTTGTCTATAAAAATGCTCGTTCACGGGTCAAGCCGGGAAGGTCTATTTCTCTTGGGAAACCAGTTCCAAGCTGATTCGGACTGGTTCATTTAGTGATTAAAAGAACTTGACTGGGTCATCTATTATTACTCAACATTATCTTTGTAGGAACCAGAGCAAGTGAGTCCACTAACCCACAGTTCATTGAAGGCCCTGATGAAATTCTATAGATTATGCGATTGTGTATTGGGTGATTGACTGATTGATGTTGGCTGTCATGATATCAGTAAGCAAAGAAATTGCGTTTATAAATTATAACATCTTTTTAAATTCATATACATTGATCAAATTTAGAGGCAAATAATGTGATTGATTGATGGATTGAAGATTATATGATATCATATGGACTGAGAGTCTGATTGATGACAGAGCTTGAATCAGTCTCTGAACTAGTAAATCAATCCCTCAATCGATCACATTACATGTTCTTTATGCATATTCCCTCTCATACGGACAGATAAAAGATTTAATTATATCAACATTTGCTTAGCTTAAGCGACTGTAAATTCCCTTAGAAGAATAATAAATAAGCTAATACATGCATCTGATACAATGATTGATGGGCAATGCATTGCAAAGGTCTTGCTGAGAGCTGCAAATTTGACTGTTTATTGATGAACTGATAGAGCGTGGAAAGTTTTAAAAGAGTTTACAACTGTATATGTATATACATATCACTGATAGGGATTTCACTATGTATTTAAATGTATATATGTACATACATATATACATATATTGCATATATTTTTCTTTGTTGAATAAAATAAAGCTATATTTCACAGATTTATTTATTTTCTATTTTTAAATTTTAATTCTAAAAAAACTAAAATGATAGGAATAAAATAAAACAAGTAAGAAGACTCTAGTCGAGACTGCTCGACTAGGAGATACCCTGAACCCTCYAAGCTGATATTCTAATCATTCTNCAAGTCTCTAGTACTTGAAATGCGTTTTTTACAAATTGGGGGAGAAGGGGGCGTGGTATCCAAAATCTGTAAATTACAAAATCTTTGTATCGATTAACTTTATATACAACGCAAATTTGAAGACTCCAGGTCTAAAAATGTTCAAATTAGGCTAAAAAAACAAAATCAATTTTTCGATTATTCTCGATAAAAAAGTTATCGGACGATTTATCGAAAAAATAAAGCAAACTCGTACTGCGTATGGTACTCACGAGTATGCATGCCAAATTTCAGCTCTCTAGCTCTTATAACTTCTGAGATCGACGCACTCATACGGACGGACGGACGGACGGACGGACGGACGGACGGACGGACGGACGGACGGACAGACGGACAGGGCTATATCGACTCAGCTGGTCGCGCTGATCAAGAATATATATACTTTGTGGGGTCTGCCACGCCTCCTTCTGCCCGTTACATACTTTTTCACAAAACCATTATACCCTGATTTCCCATTTTCAATGGGTTCAGGGTATAAAAAGTAATAAAAATAATTTTGTATTTTTTTTTTTAAGAAAAAACAAATAAGTAATAAAGCTCAAATTAAATTATTCATACATCTCTATCACTATTTAAAATATGTAAGGAATAATAATAATATATTATATTATGAATAATAATAATAAATTACATGAATTACTAAATTATTGTATATTAGAGTAAACAAGTGCCAGACTAAGTGAGCTCGAATGAAAACATTGTTGGGATCTCGACAGGGGTCGAGTGAGCGTGCCTCAAGATAATGCGAGTCTAGTATAATAGAACAAATGCATGTGTATGTGTAATCATATAGCCATTATCAGCGAGTAGAGCTCAAATAGATTTCCACTCGGAGCACTAAACAAACAGTTGCTAAACGAACGAGCTGCCGTAATGTGGACGCTGATTGGGGTGCTCTTGGGCATTGTGCATGTGGCCTTTGCTGCGGTTTACCTGTATCTCACCTGGTTCCATAGCTATTGGACGAAACGAGGTCTGGTGACAGCCCAGCCGCTGACTCTGCTCGGCAGCTATCCGGGCTTGTTTGGAGGCGGCAGCAGCTTCATCGAGGACATTGGCAAGATTTACAAGTAAATAGAGCTATATACTTATACGTGATGTATATATGTATAATATATAATATATCTATAGCAAATACAAGGGCAAGGAGCGAGCTGTGGGCGTATTCTTGACACGACAGCCGCAGATCTTGGTGCTCGATCCGCAGCTGGCGCACGAGGTCTTGGTCACGAATTTCAGCGACTTTCGGGACACAGTGACGAGCAGCTATGTGACGCACTCGAAGGACTATGATAAGTACGTCTCACGCAATCCCTTCTTCAGCGCCGGCGATGAGTGGAAGAAGCACCGCGTGAATGCCGGAGCAGGCCTAACGCCCAATAAACTGAAGCAGGCCTATGCCATTTGGGAGCAAACGGGAGAGAAGCTCGTCAGCTTCATGCAGAGTTGCATCGAGGAGCGGGGTAGCAATATCATCGAAACCAGAGATGTGAGTAGTGAATCAACCCCCTCTATCTATGTATCTATCTATATATAAATCTTCTTATCCGACAGCTCTGCTATCGCTACACAGCTCAGGCTATGGGCGATTTTATCTGGGGCATCGATGCTGGCTCCTTGACCGGCAGCGTCAAGGAGACGAGCTCCTTCCAGCGCATCTCCACGGAGTGGGTTACGCATGCCTTTCTGGGCATTACGCGATTCAATCGTACGACGATTGCGCCCATTGTGCGGAGATTGTTTCGCATGCGTTTCTTTACCCAGGCAGCGGATGATTTCTATCTGAAGCTCACCCGGGATGCGGCCAAGCTGAGGCAGAGCGGCAGTGGAGGAGAGCGTTCAGATTACTTGGCGCATCTGCTGCAGCTGCAGGAGAAGGGCGCCAGCCTGGACGATATGGTGGGTCATGCTATGACCGTGCTGATGGATGGCTTCGAAACCTCGAGCGCTGTGCTCTATCATATGCTCTATACGGCAAGTAGAGACGTCTTCCTAATCTCATTTCACTATTTCACAACAATCTGTTATTTTGACCTCATTAGCTGGGCGCTTATCCAGAGCAGCAGGAGAAGCTACGCTCCGAAATCTTGACTGCGTTGGGCGTTGATAAGTGCATTAGCTACGAACAGCTGAATGCTCTACCCTATCTCGATCAGTGTGTTTACGGTATGGGAACTTTTTGATTATTGTCCACCTCTTGTCATCTCCATATTGACTTGTTCTGTTATGATTCATTGATGGAGGCGTCATTGATAAGTCTTGCCGAATAGGTCTATATGTGAATGAATATGATTGTGAATGAGAATGGGAATGTCCCTATGAATGTGAAAGTGAATGATAATAGAATGAAAGTGAATGTCAATGTGAATGTGAATGTCAATGTGAATGTCAATGTGAGTGTGAATGTGAGTGTGAATGTGAATGTGAATATGAATGTGAGTATAAATGGGAATGTCAATGTGAATATGAATGTGAATGTCAATGTGAATATGAATATGAATGTGAATGTGAATGTGAATGTGAATGTGAATGTGAATATGAATGTGAATGTGAATATGAATATGAATATGAATATGAATATGAATGCGAGTATGAATGTGAATGTGAGTGTGAATGTGAATGTGAATATGAATATGAATATGAATATGAATATGAATATGAATATGAATATGAATATGAATGCGAGTATGAATGTGAATGTGAGTGTGAATGTGAATGTGAATATGAATATGAATATGAATATGAATATGAATATGAATATGAATATGAATATGAATCTGAACATGAATGTGAGTATGAATGTGAATATGAGTGTGAATGTGCATTTGAATACGGTGTAAATATGAATAAAAGTCTGAATATGAATGTGAATGGGAATGAATGAAATGAATATAAATGCCAACATTAATATGAAAACAATAACTATCAAATATTGTTATATGAATATGAGTAATATATTTGTAAATTATTATTTATATATATTCCATATATATTCACAGAATCGATGCGTATGACCAGCGTGATTGGCTTCTTGCTCAAGATCTGCACTAGGCCCACGAAAATGGACTTGGGCAACGATAAAATCTTAAATGTCGAGCCGGGCGTCACTGTGGCAATACCCGCGTATCACTTTCATCACGATGAAGCCTATTTTCCTCAACCTGACGAGTTTCGGCCCGAACGCTTTGACAATGAAGCCATCAGCGAGCTCACCAAGCGTGGTTGCCTCTTGGCCTTCGGGGATGGACCACGCATCTGCCTGGGTGAGTGTTCATATATGGAGCGATGACATATGACCATTTATTATTGTTGAAAATGTCTACATTTAACTTCATACGTCTATTATAAAAAGCTATAATCATACACGTATAGATACACTTTAAAGTTTAAACAGTTCTTATATACAACTTTTTTTCTATATATAAAAGCTTTACAATTTATTAACTCATAAATCTCAATTTTTATATTTCAGGCATGCGAGTTGGCTTGCTAAGTGTGAAAATGGCTTTGCTACGCATTTTATCCCAGTACAAAATCGAGCAGACTAACAAATTGTCCCTGTCCTCCGACTCCGGCCTGGGAATGTATTTGGATGGGGATGTTGATTTGAGATATACGCGCATAGAACTTTCCAAATAAAAATTCGAATTTCAATGTATCCATTGTATGCAGTCAACTTTTTGGGCGACACTCGGCGCATTATGAAACGCGTCCCTCGCCCTCCGTTGGACGCTTGGGGTCGCCGTGTACCGAAAATTTAATTTAGCGCAAACCGACCGCAGACCAACTGACACCAAGGCGCCGCCTCCCTTTTAGCCCCGCCCCAAATGTCGCCGCAAACCTGAACTGAACTGAATGGAACTGCGGCCAACCCGCCGGACTTTATGCCATGTACAAGAATTTTCATATTGAGCGACCGCGTGCGTCGCGTCGCCAATGCAACTGTGCTTTCAAATACATGACTGTACACAAGTGAGTGTGTGTGTGTGTGTGCGTGCGTGTGTGTGTGCTTTACTATTCTGGTGCAGACGTTGCCTCTCCATAGCATATCCAGTAACAAAGATTGCGAGATGGGCATATTAGATGAGGGACTTTAATTGATATAGAATCCAAATATGTATATACATATACATATATGTTTTAATGTAGATAAGGAAATTCTAAGTAGTGTACGTACAGCTCTTATAGTTTATATATATGCTATATAATCAATTAAATTTCAAATAAGAATGACTTGCAATGACTATACTATGTGTACTATGTAGTACTTTAAGAGCAGGCTAGACATTTTCGCTTCATATATATATCATAAATAAATATTTATTAAGGCACTAGCTACATCAGCTGAAACTAGTGGTAATAAAAAGATAATCAAATAATGAACATTATAAAGAGAACAAGATGAGCACGAAGATCTCTCAAGCAGATAGATTGAAAAATAAAGAAGATTATCTATAAATTTGATGAAAGCAGAAAATAGGTTTCTTCGATGAGAAACCTACGAAAGCTGAGTTAGCTAGGTAAAGCGCATGAGCTAATAGAACGAATGAAGAGAGAGAGAGAAATGAAGGAGTGAAGTTAAGCCTATTAGGTAATTGTCGATGTAAACATATATGTATATATAGTATGCACTATTGCAGACCTAAAATCTACGAAATATTATTGCAATTCTTTTTCCTTTATAAATGCGCTATAGAGTTTTCGACAAAAGCTGCAATAAAACTATATTAAAAAAAAAAAGAAAAAAAAAATGTTTTCTAGTAAATTTCCATTGCATACTCTTAGGCGCGCAGAAAACTGATTAAAGCTGAAGTGTTTTAAATGAAAGATAAGTAAGTGTTTAGTAAGTGTTGTTACTGAACTAAGCAACTTGATTAAGCTAATTATTTAATTAGCTGGAATAGCTACGCCTAACTCTCATGTGCAGAATATTCAACTTTCCACTTTTAATATACAGGCTGAATTTAAAATGCGGAGAATTCAATTTGTTTCTATTTTTATTTATTTTTTTATTATTTAAATAAAATATGTTACAGGGTATATTTGTAGTGCAACATTCACAAATGAAATGCATTTTTATTTACGTTGCACTTTGTGTTATTTTTCATGTTTCTGTTCTTTTATTTTTATGTTTAGCTCTTTGCCCTTGTTTTGCAACAAGCCACAAAATTTCATTTGAGCTTGCAATATGGCGCATTTAAATATCCTTTTTTATTTCTATTTATTTTATATTTTGTTAGCGTTTGTGTTGTATATGTATGTGTGTATGTGTGTGTGCATGAAAATTAAATTTTATGACGCCATCGTCGCTGCTTTTATTTATTAGTCTAAAAGCAAATTGTGGCCACAAAACAAAGGCTGACTGTAAACCCGTAAAAATAACCGCAAATATTTGAATTCGATTTGAATGTAAATGCAGCGAGAGAGAGGGGAGATAGAAAGATAAAGAGTGAAGAGACATAAAAAGTTAATGACTGGCGCAGTTAGTGCCGCGAAGGGAATATATATATATATATATATGTATGTATGTATGTATATAGCTAGCGTCTTAGCAGTGTTTGCAGTCAAAGCCTTCATTTTCATGTTGCTGCAACACTTGAAGATAAGCAGCAGCAGCAACAGCCAGACACAGCCACTGCCTCCCTCCCTCCCTCTCTCTCTCTCTCAGTCTTACTCTGTGTATGTGTGCGGCACAGCCAGAGGTCCTGTCACCTCTGTTCGCTGTTTGTGCCTGGCTTCATGCTACGTTGGCTTTTATCCAATTTACCTGATAACCACAAATGAGCGTTAATGGCCAAATAAATAGAAAAGTGGCAACTACGGCGCGACGGCGCGTTAACAGAATGAGCCACGCCCCTTGCCATCCGCCCTCGCACGCCTAGTACCCACTCAGCTGCAGGTTATGCTCATCTGTATGCCGTCGCGTATATTTAGTACAGTTACTAAGCAAATTTAATGCGTTCGGCACGCTGCTCGACATTTGTTTGCCATGGAAATTGGTGGAAATGCGGGGAAATCCGATAAATATGAGATGAGCGTCCATTTGAATTCCCCATCTAATATTCAGTGTCCCAAAAATCAGTTTATATCACTTGGAATTAATTCAAATTTACTGCTTTTAATTTATCTGGCTGCTTAGCTCCAAATTTCATTTGAATTTAAAGACACAAATCGTTTAATTTTAGTTTAATTAATCTTCATGAATGCTTAAAAACGGAGAACTTTGTAAGTTGTATAAACTGATATTACGTCTAATATATTATTTATATATTTGAACTTATTCTTGTTCAATGATATATATAATATATATTATTCAAATATTTAAGCTTATACTTTCTCTATGATTTTCTTTGTTAGTTATTTTATCTGTTTGCTTGGTTGTTGTCAAACACACGTTTAAGCTTTTCGATTAAGCATTTAATCAGATGCAAATAGCAAACGCAGGCGCTTGGCCAAAGAGCTGTGTGACAAATCAGTTGATAGGCCAAACAAGGTGCCAATTTGTGCAGGGGGAGAAGGAAGAAGAGGGGACACAAAGAGGAGGAGGAGGCTGCAGAAGTGGACTGAAGGAGGAGACTGCCAGAGGGGGGCATAGGGGCTTGGTCAGTTGAGAAGTTTATGGGTAAGGAGAATCAGGAGGAGAAGGCAGTGGGCTGCGGCCTGTTGGCTGCAGGTTTTAAGTGAAATTGGTTCGTGCCTAACATTGCGTCAACGTTACATTAATTTGCGCACGTTCCGTTTGCCGGCGGCTCCGATTTCGATAGGATCGAAGAGCTGTTGCTGATGTAGCAGCAGTTGTTGTTGCGGCTGCTTGTTTGGCTGCTGGGCTGTTGGCTGCCATGGGCTGCCATTGGCTGCTGGCGGGCATTGCAACACTTTGGCCACCGAAGTGCAGCCAGCAGCGTGGGCAAATGGAATTAGCAACAATTTAACCATTAAACACATCATGTGCATTGGCATTGGGTTTCGGACTTTGGCTGCGATTTGCAGCAGCCGCACAGCAGCAACAACAACAACAACAACAGTTAGTGATTACTTCTGGTCTCCATTGTCGAGTGTCGAGCAAACTGAGACTGTGTCTGTGCATAGCTAACTATTCGTGCTATCTGTCTGCGTGCCAGACGCCGTTTATTGGCATTGGAGCTGTGTTGGCTCCTTGCTATTGCCTTTTTGGCTCCGCGGCGTGGCTAATAGACTTTGGGGCTTTTATTGCTGGCAACAGTTGCGCGAATTTCGAATCGCTTGCATAGTGCAACGTAGCGCTAATTAAAATGAAATTTGTTCAGTTTGCCGCAAATACGCCACCGAAATTACGGGCTGCAGCAGGAGACGCCACAGGATCTGCTCTGGGCCATGGTCAAAGGGAAAGTCGAAGCCGCAGCCGCAGCAAACGCGTTGAAGTGCTTGGCTTTTATGACAGGTAAGTATTTGTGTAAGCAGAGAAGCAAAATCCGCAGCGAAAGCAAATTTCTGCTGACTTGCCACAACTTGTTGACCCACTACACGTATACGTAATGCGAGTGCTGGTCATTATGGTTCCGTTCCGTTTACGTGAACGAACTAACTCAATGGGCAGTTGGGATTCATTCCACCTTTTTTATTGATGGCTGCTTAAGCTGTTTAGCCTTAATTTGAGTTACGTTTCGAATGGCTATTGCTTCGGTTAGACTGCAGTTACGTCTGCTTTTGTGATGGTTCACTTAAGGGAACTTGTTTCAATGGCTAGACGGCTTACATATCGTATGAAACTAAAATGGAATGCGTCTTTATCTTGCTGTATCTTAAATCAGGTGGAGCTACATCCAATGGAAGTAATTTAAACTACTTACAGCAAAGTTTTCATCTTTTGGAACTAGTTCCATTTCAAGTTTAATTTAATTAAACTGAAATCTTTATTCAAAGATTGATTCGAATAAATAACGCATTAAAAATGGAGTAGTACATCCAATTAACGCTCGGAAACAAAAGTAACTAGTTCCGCGGTAAGACTAGTTCTTAAGAAAGTGTTTTTCTTTTTCAATCTCATCAAATTAGTTTCACATTTTATTAAGAGATATATAGAGAAATATCCATTACTTAAGCTATGAACTTTAAAATGAACTAGTTCCACAGTCACGTTGCTGAAGCAAACTAATGCAAAATAAATTATTATATTAAAATGAACTAGTTCTAAAGAATTAAAAAAATTAATGGAGCTAGTTTTATTTGAATTATCAACTTGTAAAAGAACTAGTTCCACTCATTGAACAATAAATATCACAGCAACTAGGCAATCGATTTCTAAATGAACTAGTTCCGCTGCTACAACATTGAGTAAACACATGTGTTGTATAAACACACATGCCTATGCTTGTTGTGTGGGTGTGTGTGTGTGTGTGGGTGAATATGTTTGTTGGCAGTTTGTTTATTTGCTTGTTGGATGGGCATGGTCAGGTAATTTGCTGCGAAAAATGGCATCATTAGCCTAACAAATTGCCATTTTGTTGTTGCACATAAATTCCCTAAAAGTAGGCGCCAGTAGGTCGAACCAGCAGATAGACGAACGGACAGACGGACAGACGGACAGATTGTCTGCTGGGTACTTAATTAAAATTGAAAATACCCAGAAGTCATTGGCAATGCTCAAACGAATGCCCCAGACAGAGGTGGGGGGTGAGG